CTCTTCTTCCTTTCCTTTACTCTTCTTATGTCTTTCACTCTTTTCTTCTCTCCTTCCTTCCTTCCTTCCTTCCTTCCCTTCCCTTCCCGCTACCTCTCCCTTTCCATACCCTCCCTTCTTCCCCTTCCTCACTAACCTCCCCTTCTCCCCTTCCCCACTACCCTCCCCCTTTCCCCACTAACCCCCCCTCCTCCCCTTCCCCACTACCTTCCCCCTCCCCCTTTCCCCACTACCCCCCCCCGCCTCACCCCCACTGCTTTTGACACTCTCTCAAGCGCGGTGTCATTTACAAGAGGTCTGGTGCCCTGCCAACCCTCACGGAGGAGGAGGAGGAGGAGGAGGAGGGGGGGAGGGGAGGAAGGGGGAAGGGGGAAGGGGGAGGAGGTGGGGGAAGGGGGAAGGGGGAGGAGGTGGGGGAAGGGGAAGAGGAGAAGAGGGGAAGAGGGATAGGGAAGGAGGAGGAGGAAGTGGTACTGGATGATGATGATGATGATGATGATGATGATGATGATGATGATGATGATGATGGTGATGATGATGATGATGATGGTGATTAATCCTACTCTTTCTACTTCATTATTAATACTCTTTTCCTTTCTCTCTTCTCTCCTTTCCTTCCCACTTCCAGCTTCCTTCCCCTTCTCCTCCCCTTCCTTCGCCTTCCCTCACTCCCTCCCTCACCCCTCCCTCCTTCTCTTCCCTTCTTCCATCCTTTCCTCTCTTCTCTTCCTCCCTCCCTCCATCATTTCTTCCCTCCCTCCCTCCTTTCTTCCATTCCTCCCTCTTTTCATCTCTTTTCTTCCTCCTTTCATCTCTTCCTTCCCTTCCTCCCTCTTTTCATCCCTTTCTTCCTCCTTTCATCTCTTCCTTCCTCCCTCCTTTCTTATCTTCCTCCCTCCTTTCCTCCCTTCCTCCTTCCCTTCCTCCCTCCCTCCCTTCCTCCCTCCCTCCCCCCTCGTACCCCCACCCCCTTCTCCCTGAAGAGGAGCGAGCGCTTGTGACAATAAAGTGAACCTCACTGGATGTGTCGTTGTGTCCAGCTGTCCTCCCCTCTCCCCCCCCCCCTCGTTCCCCTCTCGTGTCCGCCTCCCCTTCATCTCTCTTCTCCCTTCCCTTACCCTCGTCTCCCCTCCGTCTCTCTTCTCCCTTTCCTTCTCTTCCCCTCCCCTTCGTCTCTCTTCTCCCTTCCCTTCCCCTCGTTTATCCTCCGTCCCTCCCCTCCCTTCCCTCGTGTCCCCTTCCGTCTCTCTTCTCCCTTTCCTTCTCTTCCCCTCCCCTTCGTCTCTCTTCTCCCTTTCCTTCTCTTCCCTCCCCTTCGTCTCTCTTCTCCCTTTCCTTCCCCTCGTTTCCCCTAAGTCCTTCCTCTCCCTTCCCCTCACCTCTTTTATCCTCCGTCTCTCCTATCCCTTCCCTTCCATCCATTCGCATCCCCTCCGTCCCTCCTCTTCCTCCACGTCTATCCTTTATCCTACCTTCCTATCCACACCTTCCACTTTACTTTGCTACATCCCTTCTACTTCCCTCCTCCCCCCCCCCGCCATCACACCCTCTTCTTCTCCTCTTCCTTTCACTTCCCCCTTCCCCCCACCCCCCTTCCATCACAACGTCTCTTCCTCCTCCTCCTCCTTTTCTTCGTCTTTTTCTTCTTCTTCTTCTTCTTCTTCTTCTTCTTCTTTTTCCTCTTTCTCTTCTTTTTCCTCTTTCTCTTCTTTTTCCTCTTTCTCTTCTCTTTCATCTTTCTTTCTCTTCTTTTTCTCTTTCTCTTCTTTTTCCTCTTTCTCTTCTTTTTTTTTTCTTTACTTCTTTCTCCTCCCACTCACTCCCCCATCATCCCCGCACCATCACACCATCCCCTCCTCCTCCTCCTCTCCTTCCCTCCTCCTCTCCTTCCCTCCTCCTCTCCTTCCCTCCTCCTCTCCTTCCCTCCTCCTCTCCTTCCCTCCTCCTCTCCTTCCCTCCTCCTCTCCTTCCCTCCTCCTCTCCCTCCCTCCTCCTCTCCTTCCCCTCTCTTCCTCCTTCTCTGCTTACCCCTCCCCCGCATCCTCCGTCGTGTGTGGGTGTCTAGCGCTCCGTTACAACAACAGCGGAGACTCCATGACACAAGACATGGAAAACCGCTATGCCATCTTCTTCCCTCCCCTTCCCCCTCCCCTCCCCCCTCCTCTTCCCTCTCCCCTTCCCCCTTCCCTCTCCCCTTCCCCCTCCCCCTCCCCTTCCTCCTCTCCTTCCCACTTTCCTTTCCCCTCCTTTCATCCTCCCATTCCCTTTTCCCTCCTCCCGCATGAGGAGGAGGAGGAGGAGGAGGAGGAGGAGGAGGAGGAGGAGGAGGAAGAGGAGGAGGAAGAGGAGGAGGAGGAAGAGGAAGAGGAGGAGGAGGAGGAGGAGGAAGAGGAGGAGGAGGAGGAGGAGGAGGAGGAGGAGGAGGAGGAGGAAGAGGAGGAGGAGGAGGAAGAAGAAAAGGAGGAAGAGAAGACAAAGGGAAAAGACAGAGGGACCATTCAAAAATAATAATATACGATAAGTCAAGCATGCCAAACGGACAAGTACACAAAAAAGAAGAGAAAAAAGAGCGAAAAAAGAACTGAAAAAGAAAAGCGAAAAAAGAAAAAGAAAAAGAAAGCATTAACACAGACACAACAATCCCTTTGGTAAAGTTACAGGTCTACTCCACAGCCTAAAAGTTTTTGAAACATGGCGTGGATTCCCCGAGACTTATGTACGTCTTCGCGGATGTACGGCAAAGAGAGAGAGATATATATATAAAATCCACATTGACAACGCGGTAGGCCTAGTTTCTTCGTCTTTTTTTTTTGGGGGGGGGAGAGGCCTATCAGGTCTCATTCCATCCTGTCCGAGTGTACAAACAAGAAAAAAAATAGGAAGTATATTTGCGTTATTATTTTTTCTTCATTCGTACTTCCTCTGTTCGTTATTTTATTTTTTTCTCGTCTACTTTCTGCTTTTCTCATTCCCTTTCGCTATTTTGTCTTTCCCGCTCTTCTCTTATTCCTCTACATTTATTCTCATTTTTTTCTCCTTCCCTTCCTCTCTGTTATCATTTCTTCTTGCCTTCTTCCTCTTCGCTATTCTTCTTCTTCCCCTTCCTCTGCCTTTCTTCTCATTTTCTTCCTTCCTTCCTCTCTCACTATCTCTCTCCCATTGCCTTTTTCTTTTTCCCTTTTAATTTCCTTTCCTCTACTTCTCACTTTACTCTTCTCTCCCAATTCCCCTTTTTCTCTTCCCTCCTACTATCCCCGCTTTCAATATCCCTCTTTCACTCATTTCTTTCTCTCTCCGTCTTCTCTCTTCCTTCTCCCCTTTCCCTTACCACAGCCTCTCTCTTCCTTTTGTAAACAACCATCCAAATGGACGCCCCCCCCCCCCCCACCACACACACAACCCTTACCTTCACCTCCCCCCCCCTCCTTCCCCTCCCTTAAGTACACTCCCTCTCCCCTTTCCCTATTTTCCTATTTTCTCTTACCCTCCTCCTATCCCCACTCCCCCCCTATCTCCTATTCCCTCCTTTCTTCCTTCTTCCTACCTTCCCTTCTCCCGCCCTACCTACCCCTCCCTCTACCCCCCTTCCCTCCTCCCTCCCTCCTCCTACCCGTCTCTCTCCTTTCCCTCCCTCACTTCCCATCCCCTTTCCTCTCCCTCCTCCTACCCGTCTCTTTCCCTCCCTCCCCTTTCCCCCTTACCCACTTCCCTCCTCCCTCCCTCCTCCTACCCGCCTCTCCCTCTCCCCCTCCCCCTACCCGTTTCCTTCCTTTATCTTTCCCTCCTATTCTCCTCCCTTCCTCTTCCCTCCTCCTACCCGTCTCCTTCCCTCCCCCATACCCCCTTCCCTCTCCCCTCTCCCCTCCTCCTTCCCTTCCCTCTTCCTACCCATTTCCTTCCCTCCCCCATACCCCTTTCCCTTCCCCCTCTCCCCTCCACCTTCTTCCCTTCCCTCCCCCATACCCCCTTCCCTCCCTCCCCCTTACCCACTTCCCTCCCTCCTCCTTCTCCCCTTCCCTCCTCCTACCCGTTTCCTTCCCTCTCCCAGCGTCTCTTCCTTAATTAGGGTTCATTATCACAGCAGGACTTACTGCGTGTCATGAAAGCAAAATTCCGCTGCCTTTGCTTACTCCTGACCCTCCCTCCCCCCCCCCTCCAACTCCACCTTCCCCCCCCTTCACTTCTCTCTCTCTCTCTCTCTTCCCTCTCTTCCATCTTCTCTCTCCGTCTCTCCTTTCCACATTTTGTCTCTTCCAATTCTCTTCTCTGTCTCTGCTACCCCTTCCCCCCTCTTTCCACCTTTTTTTCTCTTCTTCTTTCTCTTTCCCACTTATCTCTCATCCTTCTTTCACCATCTTTCCATATTTAATTTCTTCCATTTTTCCTTTTTTTATATTTCCGCTCTTCCTTTCCCCTCTTTCTTTCCCCATTTCTTCCATTTTCTACTTTTCCTCTTTCTCTCTTTCCACATCTCTTCCATCTCCTCCTCTCTCCACTTTCCTTTCCTTCTTTCGTTCTTTTTTCCCTCTCTTCCTCTTCTTCCTTCAATCTCTCACTAACTCCATTCTCCTTCTTTTCCTTGTCTTTCCCTCTTTCTTGGTCTCCTTCACTCTGTCCTTCCTTCATCATTCGCATCTTCGTCATTAAGTAATCATGATAATTACAGTTATTTGGTAAAGTATTGATACATACAAATAAATATTACACGCGCACACACACACACACACACACACACACACACACACACACACACACACACACACACACACACACACACACACACACACACACACACACACAAACAAACACACGTACCCACAACCAAACACATACAAACACAAACAAACTCACACAAATCCTCTCAAAAACAACACACACAATAAAACTTACACAACCAATTAAAAAAAAAAAAAATCTTCCCAAAAACACACACACACAATAAAACTTACACAACCAATTAAAAAAAAATAACAACAAAAAAAAAGGGCCCTTGTACTCAC